CTGTCTGCCCGTCCGTCTGTCTGCCCGTCCGTCTGTCTGCCCGTCCGTCCGCCTGTCTGTCTGTCCACCTGTCTGTCTGCTTGTCTGTGTCTGTGTATGTTTCTCCATTTCCCTATCCCCCTATCATTCCTTTCCTTTCTCTCCTTCCTCCTCTCCCTCCTCTTTTTCTCCTTCTCCCTCTCCCTCTCTCTCTTCTTCTCTCTTTTCCTCTCTCCTTACATTTATACCGTGAACTTAATATCGGATATCCTTCGCTGGTATTTCCAATATTCCAGGCAAAAATATAGCACCAGGGAATGATATCATCGGCATGTATTTCAATTATCCTTGATCTCCTTATGAAGTCCAAACCGCTAAAAAAATAATAATAATAAAAAATAAAAAAAATTCAGACGAAATATATTTTAAAATCCTATTTCAGATATTTCTTTAGATATTTCCCTTAAAAAAAACTCCGAGTCAACAAGACTACGGTTAGTTTTGCTGACTGAACTCTCTTTGCGCCGTAAGGTCACGTTACAAGACTAAAGTGTCTGGGAGAGTTATTACTCTGTGCGACTGACATGTGTCTGTCCGTTTACCTGACTCTGCAGAGGTAACTCGCTCGTGATGGACGCGTGTCGCAATCCACCGTCGACGCGGCGTTCGCTCTCTTGTCGTTGGTCGTTTTTGCTTCTTTCTCTCCCTTTCTTTCTTTCTCTTGTTTTTTATAGTCTTCTGTGAGGAGGAGGAGGAGGAGGAGGAGGAGGAGGAGGAGGAGGAGGAGGAGGAGGAGGAGGAGGAGGAGGAGGAGGAGGAGGAGGAGGAGGAGGAGGAGGAGGAGGAGGAGGAGGAGGAGGAGGAGGAGGAGGAGGAGGAGGAGGAGGAGGAGGAGGAGGAGGAGGAGGAGGAGGAGGAGGAGGAGGAGGAGGAGGAGGAGGAGGAGGAGGAGGAGGAGGAGGAGGAGGAGGAGGAGGAGGAGGAGGAGGAGGAGGAGGAGGAGGAGGAGGAGGAGGAGGAGGAGGAGGAGGAGGAGGAGGAGGAGGAGGAGGAGGAGGAGGAGGAGGAGGAGGAGGAGGAGGAGGAGGAGGAGGAGGAGGAGGAGGAGGAGGAGGAGGAGGAGGAGGAGGAGGAGGAGGAGGAGGAGGAGGAGGAGGAGGAGGAGGAGGAGGAGGAGGAGGAGGAGGAGGAGGAGGAGGAGGAGGAGGAGGAGGAGGAGGAGGAGGAGGAGGAGGAGGAGGAGGAGGAGGAGGAGGAGGAGGAGGAGGAGGAGGAGGAGGAGGAGGAGGAGGAGGAGGAGGAGGAGGAGGAGGAGGAGGAGGAGGAGGAGGAGGAGGAGGAGGAGGAGGAGGAGGAGGAGGAGGAGGAGGAGGAGGAGGAGGAGGAGGAGGAGGAGGAGGAGGAGGAGGAGGAGGAGGAGGAGGAGGAGGAGGAGGAGGAGGAGGAGGAGGAGGAGGAGGAGGAGGAGGAGGAGGAGGAGGAGGAGGAGGAGGAGGAGGAGGAGGAGGAGGAGGAGGAGGAGGAGGAGGAGGAGGAGGAGGAGGAGGAGGAGGAGGAGGAGGAGGAGGAGGAGGAGGAGGAGGAGGAGGAGGAGGAGGAGGAGGAGGAGGAGGAGGAGGAGGAGGAGGAGGAGGAGGAGGAGGAGGAGGAGGAGGAGGAGGAGGAGGAGGAGGAGGAGGAGGAGGAGGAGGAGGAGGAGGAGGAGGAGGAGGAGGAGGAGGAGGAGGAGGAGGAGGAGGAGGAGGAGGAGGAGGAGGAGGAGGAGGAGGAGGAGGAGGAGGAGGAGGAGGAGGAGGAGGAGGAGGAGGAGGAGGAGGAGGAGGAGGAGGAGGAGGAGGAGGAGGAGGAGGAGGAGGAGGAGGAGGAGGAGGAGGAGGAGGAGGAGGAGGAGGAGGAGGAGGAGGAGGAGGAGGAGGAGGAGGAGGAGGAGGAGGAGGAGGAGGAGGAGGAGGAGGAGGAGGAGGAGGAGGAGGAGGAGGAGGAGGAGGAGGAGGAGGAGGAGGAGGAGGAGGAGGAGGAGGAGGAGGAGGAGGAGGAGGAGGAGGAGGAGGAGGAGGAGGAGGAGGAGGAGGAGGAGGAGGAGGAGGAGGAGGAGGAGGAGGAGGAGGAGGAGGAGGAGGAGGAGGAGGAGGAGGAGGAGGAGGAGGAGGAGGAGGAGGAGGAGGAGGAGGAGGAGGAGGAGGAGGAGGAGGAGGAGGAGGAGGAGGAGGAGGAGGAGGAGGAGGAGGAGGAGGAGGAGGAGGAGGAGGAGGAGGAGGAGGAGGAGGAGGAGGAGGAGGAGGAGGAGGAGGAGGAGGAGGAGGAGGAGGAGGAGGAGGAGGAGGAGGAGGAGGAGGAGGAGGAGGAGGAGGAGGAGGAGGAGGAGGAGGAGGAGGAGGAGGAGGAGGAGGAGGAGGAGGAGGAGGAGGAGGAGGAGGAGGAGGAGGAGGAGGAGGAGGAGGAGGAGGAGGAGGAGGAGGAGGAGGAGGAGGAGGAGGAGGAGGAGGAGGAGGAGGAGGAGGAGGAGGAGGAGGAGGAGGAG